ACCCTTAAACCCTAAACCCTAAACCTATAAACCTTAAACCCTAAAGCCTCAAACCCTAAAGCCTCAAACCCTAAAGCCTCAAACCCTAAACCTTAAACCCTAAACCCTAAACCTTAAACCCTAAAGCCTCAAACCCTAAACCCTAAACCTTAAACCCTAAAGTCTCAAACCTTAAAACTGAAACCCCAGTATGTGAACCTGTGAGGCTCGTGCCGGTGCCGTCTCCGGAGTTCTGGAGCAGCTGCACTGGGTTGGGAAGGACCTTTCTACTGTTTAGGGTTTTTGGGGTTTAGGGTTTTAGGGTTTTTGGGATTTAGGGGGTTTAGGGGGTTTAGGGCTTTTGGGATTTAGGGGGTTTAGGGCTTTTGGGATTTAGGGGTTTAGGATTTAGGGGTTTAGAGGTTTTAGGATTTAGGGTTTTCAGGGTTTAGGGTTTTTAGGGTTTTCAGGGTTTAGGGGTTTAGGGTTTTCAGGGTTTAGGGTAGGGGTTTAGGGTTTAGGGTTTAGGCTTTCTACTACTGTGTCTGAAAGGTTTTTGGGGGTCTTTAGGCTTTTACAGGGCTTCACAACGGTGTTCTAGGTTCTTGTAGGGTTGTTACAGAGTCTAAGGTTCATAAGCCTTGCAAGGACTTTTTACAGGGCCCCTAACTAAGGACAACGTGTTTTCCGCTCTGAGATAATTCAAGATATCAATGTGTGTTTTGGGCCCAGGGGCACGCAGCACACTTGGGGCAACGGATGTCGAAGCGTAGGAGTATATGGGGGTTTCCGAAAATAGGGGACCCTAATATAGTACCCTAAATAAAAGGATCCTTATTATAAGGACCCCAAAATAAGGTACCCTAATTTTCGGAAGATCCCATATGATTTTGGGTTGGTGGGCTGCGGGCTGTCGGCATGGGGATTTCAACCTTGAGTCCCCAGTCCCCTTAACCCTTAAGCTCTTGATCTTTAATATATATATATATATATATTATATTGTATTATGTTATATTATGTTATATTATACTATATTTAATGTAAACCCTAAACCTTGAGACATCCAATCATTCAGCCCCGAACCTTCACTTTCAGGACTTGGCTTCCCGGCTTAAGGGTATGAGCTGCATGCAGGGAGCCCCAGCTCCTTTGGACGCTGTCCTTGGATGTCCGGCAAAGAGATGTGAGGTCTCAAAACACTATAGGGTTCAGGGTTTAGGGCA